CATCGCTTCCGCCGCCGATACGAGGCACGTACAGGGAGTGCACCTCCGGGTACGGGTGCGCCGCCGTCCGCTCAGAAATCTCCTCGTCGCTCAGGGCACACCCCAGCACCTTGAAGCTCACAATAAGGCTGCCGATTTTGTGACCCGTGACGATAATTTGGTCAGGCATCACGTTCAGCGCATCGGCAGTGTCGTTCCGGAATGCGTCGTCCAGTTTCTCGCGGTTCATCGCGAGCACAAGGTCCCAGTCGGCGCCCTCGAACTTCTTCGTCACCACACCAGACTCCAGCGGCCGCGGCTCGTACAGATCCCACAGCTCCTTGTACGCGTGCGCTGCCAGCGCATCCCCGATCTGATCTTCGCCTAGCGTGTCTGGGTGCCGCACCGTTACGAACGCAACGAGGGTCTCAGGAGTGACGTCCAACACCACGTCGCTCACATCCCCGCGCTCGCACTGCAGGGCGCGTGCTGTCTCGGCCGCCACAGCTTCCTCCACATTCCCACGTCGCTTCTCCAGCACGTAGTCCCAATCGCCACCCTCGAAGCTGAGCTCACGTGTGGTGGTTACCATCTCCGCCTCTACGGGAGGTCGCGCCTCGTACAGAGCCCACAAGCCACGGTACCTGCAATCTCTGAGACGCTTCTTGGCATCCACCTCCGACAGTGACGCCGGGCGGCGCATTTCGAAGTCCACCAGCAGGCCGTTCTCCTCACACCTCATCGCAACGTGCCGCACCTGGTCCTCATCCATGCCGAACTCCTCGGCTGTCTCACGCACAAATGCAGACAGCACGCCGTCCTGCTTCGTTTCCAGCACGTAGTCCCAGTCCTCGCCTCTAAACCCCACATGATGCTGCGCCCACACATAAGCGGCATCGTCGTCCGCGGCCTTCTGGTCGGCGACCCTGGCATCAGCGCCATCGCTTCCGCCGCCGATACGAGGCACGTACAGGGAGTGCACCTCCGGGTACGGGTGCGCCGCCGTCCGCTCAGAAATCTCCTCGTCGCTCAGGGCACACCCCAGCACCTTGAAGCTCACAATAAGGCTGCCGGTTCGGCAGTCCAAAAGCACCACTTGACCAGGCATCACGTTCAGCGCATCGGCAGTGTCGTTCCGGAATGCGTCGTCCAGTTTCTCGCGGTTCATCGCGAGCACAAGGTCCCAGTCGGCGCCCTCGAACTTCTTCGTCACCACACCAGACTCCAGCGGCCGCGGCTCGTACAGATCCCACAGCTCCTTGTACGCGTGCGCTGCCAGCGCATCCCCGATCTGATCTTCGCCTAGCGTGTCTGGGTGCCGCACCGTTACGAACGCAACGAGGGTCTCAGGAGTGACGTCCAATTCAATGCCTCTCACATCCCCGCGCTCGCACTGCAGGGCGCGCGCCGAACCAATAATAATAGCCTCCTCCACATCTGAACGTCGCTTCTCCAGCACGTAGTCCCAATCCTTTCCCTCAAAACCAATTTCGTGGCTAGTGATAACCGACCCGTCGTTCATAGACAGCTCGTATAGAGCCCATGTCTCCGGGTATATACTGTTTTCTATTGCCCGACGGGCATCATCTCCAGTGCGGTTTGTATCATTTGCTATATAGTCAACGACTAGTTGGTTTTCTGTAGCCTCAATATCCTTGACCTCGATGTTTTGCGTGGGCAAGCCAAGGGTTTCTGCTGTATCCTTCTGGAATGCAGCTACCAACGCCGGTTGGTCATTGTTCAATACAGTCTGCCATCTGTCCCCATCGAAGTATTTTGTGCCTGCTACTGGGCCTTTTACACTTAATGAGTCGTAGAGAGCCCAGACTTCGGGGAAGCTATAGGCTTCGGCAATTTTGCTTGCTTCACTGTGTGACAGATTAGTGTTTTTCAATTTGTACGTCACATGCATTCCCTCTTCGTGGTCTATAGCGGTAACCTGGACGTGATCTGTGTCACTGAGAGCAAGTGCTGCCGCTGTGTCACGCTGAAATGCCTTTTCCACGTCTTCCTTGTGATCAGCGATAATGGGTTCCCATCCTTCTCCACTGAATCGTATGTGGTGGTTAGAAAGATCTGCTGTCTCGTCGTCATACAACTTATGCAGTTTTGGGTATGGGAACGCATCGATTGTGTCCTGCAGTACCTCCTGTGGCTGTGTGCCATCGTGCTGCACCTCGGTGTCAATTACCAATGTATCAGCAGGCCCTCGGCAGTCCACATGTAGTACAGAGACATTGTATTCAGGAAGTTGCAGCGCTTCAGCAGTCTCATCACAGAATGTGTCGATGAGAGCAATGCGCTTACGCTCGAGGACGTGTTTCCAGTGTTCACCAGCAAACTGGCGTTGCAGTATATCAACCTTCGTTTCTGCGTCGGTGGCGTTGTGCTCAGCAACTGTTCTAAAAAGTCCCTCCTCGATCTCCGCCTGTTCCTCTTGTTCATACCTCTTTCGCGCCTCTTCATCCATCTCAAGTGGCTCTAAGGTCTGGCGGCGCCTTTGCAGGGCCTCGTCGAGCTGCCGGACCTGCTCCTCTGTGAGGGTGCACTCACCATCCGGCTGCCCGGGCATCACGGCACCGTGATTCACGAGGAGGTTCCTGCGCAGAACGACGATAGTACAGCTTGTAGGCCTCCATGTGTAGAATGCGCTGCGGAGGTATTCCTTGTTCTCAGCAGCGGCAAAGCTCTCGTCATAGCGGTGCTGTGCCGCGCTGCGCTGCTGGCACTCGAGGCAAATTTCCTCACCCTCTGACATTCTGCGTTGCCGATTCCTGTGAGCGCGCAACTTTTTCTCTTCCTTGTCCAATGCGGCTTGATATTCGGCCATGGGCTTCTGCAACTCATGAACCTCCTTTATGAGCTGCTGTAACTCCTTCTTCAGTTCTTCTTTTTTCTTCTCCGCACGACGGTGCTGCAACGCCGCCTCGCTGCTGTCAAGTTGTGCAAGAACCCAGTAGTAGATGGGGCCAATCGCCTTACTGCCCTTGACTGCACGATCATAGCGGAAACTCTTCTTACGCACGCACTCCCGCAGAATATACTCGCAGCGCTCCCTCGTGAGCATAGTTTCCGGGTCGTAGTTGATGATTCGAGCCTTGAAGTGCGCATCGCGAAGGATGCGCTGCATCTGCGGCCACGTCACTGCGCTGTCCTCACCAAGCAGTAGCATTACTGCGCGGAGAATTGTTGCCACCATATTCGGCGGCATTCGGTACGACTTGAGCTCCTGCCAGTGGCGGTACGATATGCTGTCCACGTCGTGGCGGGCGGCATGCACTGCGGCACGTGACTCCACAACGTGCGTCTTAGCCGCGCCACTCACATGCATGACCTGTTGCCTGCGATCCCGCAACTCTTCTGTGAGCTGCGCTGCGCGTTCTCTGCTCTCCTCCAGCAGCTGCTTCGCCATGTTTACCTTCTCTACCAGCTGGTGCTCCTCGTCGTCCAATGCAGCGTTGTTTCTACTACGGTTGTGCTCGCACGCGTCGTTCTCCATTTTTTCCCAGAGACGAATCTCGATGTCGTGCAGGTACGGCGCTGACTCGACGGTGCCCAATGTCCAGTGTCCCTCCTCGTCACCAGTGTGGTGCGTCGCGACACTGACCATGTCGCCCACACGGAGGGCCATGAGCTCCTTGTTGGCGACGACCCGGTACCACTCCGCCATAGCTCCGCTCACCGTTGGTGTCCTGTGCAGCTGTGTGGGGTGTGTTGATGGGTGACGGGGTGTTTGGTTTGTGGGGGGATCTTTTTTTTTTTCTTTTTTGTCACCCACCCTATGTGTACCTTGTCTTCTTTTTTGTTTCCGGGTTGTTTGTTTGTCCTCTCTCTTTCTGTCTTCTTGGATACAAAGGAGAAGCAGACCTTGGTATTATCTTCCTCCCCTGGGGTCTTTGTTTTCTTTTTTTTTTTTTGTTTTTGTTTTGGATTGTTTCTTTTTTCTTTTCTTTTTTTTCTTTTTCTTCTTCCTCTTCTTGTTGTTGTTGTTGCTACGATCTTCCTTGCCTCCTCGCCTTCTGTCTCCCTATGGTGTCTCCCCCTCCCGCTGGGGCTGAAGCACACAGACTGGCAGACCGGTGGGCACAGACACACACGCGGCCAGAAAGAAATAGTCTTCTTCCTCCTTCCCGGCGCGGATGTCTACACGCTAGCTAGCCGAGCTTGCCTCTTGCACCTGGGTTGCTTGTTTGGTTTTCTTCTTTATTTCCACCCAGAGGCTTTTTTGTCTTCTTTGTTTCTTTCCTTCTTGTTGTTTTCTTTTAGATTCTCCTTTTTTTTTTTGGTTTACCCTGCTTGTTTGTTTTGGTTTGTTTGTTCGTTCGCTTGTTTGAACTTCCTTGTTGTTGCGTCACCACTCCTA